GAGCAGAGGTGGGAGGCGAAGCAGCGAGCCGTGCGCCGGAGGCGAGAGGCTGAGGCCGTGGAAGCCCTGGAGGAAGGTGAGGTGCTTTGGGATGCCGGCGGGGCAGGGACCGGCCGCCCCTCGCTGTGGGAGGGGCACACGGTGAAGAAACCCCGCTGGGTTTGGGGGATGAAGGAAGGACCCTGCGTCAATTTGGGTGGCGTGGGGAAGCACGGGACTCGCCGGGAAAAGCAGCCCTTACCCCCCCTTTTCTCCCCGGACAGGCAAGGACTACGAAGGCTATATCCCGCTGTGGTTTGAGCGCAAGGTGGATGCCGTGACGGGGGAGCTGATCTGCGTCTATAAGGGCGGCTACTGGGAGGCCAAGGACAAGCAGGACTGGAGTACGTGCCCCGACATCTTCTGAGCCGCTCTGCTCGCGCCGGGGTGGCCGTCCCCGTGCCTCAATTCACCGGGACAGACAGAGGGACAGTGAGGACACGCTGGCAGCGTCCCGCCAGCAGTTAACAGTGCAAATACATACACAGAGTCAATACGTGCAGAAATTTGAAAAGAAAATCTAAACAGGGATTCCAAACCTATTTTTTTACGCACTAATAAATAGCATCCTTTTTTTTTTTAATGATGGCTTTTTCAGCGACTAATTAGGAACGAGGATACGTGAATCTGGTCCGTTTTTAGCCTAGCATATTTATCTATATAAATTCAGCTATCAGGAGTTGCTGCCTATATCTTTCAGCGCCTTGGCTTTATCGGCTGAGACGTTGACTTCCAAAGATGCTCGCATTGTGGGGATGCCGTGCATTTGTGTGAGCTCTTTTCTTTGACATTATTTTTTTTTCCCCATTTGTGTGTGGACTTTATGGAAATTTTTTTTTTTTTTTTTTTTAAATCTGCTCCTGGTTCAGGTTCCTTCAAAGACGGACACGAACAGCTCTGTGTCCTGCTCAGAAAACTGTCTCCAGGGGCCGTGGCGCTTGATCCTGGAGGCTCTTGGTGGTTCCCGCAATGCCCAGTCTTCCCAGTAACACCAATTACGACATTTCAGCTGGTGACTTTTTTTTTTGACCTTTTTTTTTTTTAAAAAGAGGTGTTTCAGCAGATTCCCTGCAGTCTGCCGTGTTTAGTCAAGGCTTAGGGCTGTCTTTAACATGATGCTTTGTGAGAGTGATTTGAGTGAGGTTTGGTTTGGTTTTCCTGCAACCGCATCCGAAGGGGGGAGACGGCCTCGCCGAGGTTGGGAATGCCCAGCAGACACAGAGCAAAGAGGTCTGTAGACCAGCGATGCTCCGGGGTCCACGTACCGGCTCTCTCCCGCTCCGCCTCGCTGCAGCCCAGGGGCTGGCAGGAGCCTGGACCGCAGTACCGGGTTTGCAGGCGGTGTCTCCCTGCTGAGCTCTGCCCGAGGCCGGGAGGGAGGGGAGGGGAGAGATGCTGTGGTGCCGCTGGGACAGAGCCTGCCTGGGATGCAGCCTTGGTCCTGGGTCTCCCATCCCTGCGTCTTCCCCGTTAAGCCAGACAGGTCTGGTCCGCAGTCCCCCGGCACGGGGGGGTCACAGGCTGAGCCTGGAGGGCACCTCTGTAGCCTGGTGCCCAGCTCCGTTCCTTCTCCTCCCTCGTGGCCGGTCTCTCCCAGGAGCAGTTTCAGGTCACCACTAAAGCAGCCTGAGCACGGGGCCGGGGCAGCCCCACGTCCCCTGCTCACCCTCCGCCTTGCTGCAGCCCTGGACCCGCCGGGAGGAGCGGAGCAAGCCCTGCCGCTGATCGTCGAGGACCAGGAGCGAGCGGCGCT